GGATGGCATCACCTCGGCCAAGCCTCCCATCTCCTCTCCTCTCCTGACTCAGCTCCTTCCACCTGTTTGTGTGGGACCTCCTCCTCCATGCTCCAAGCAGCAGCCAACTCTGCAACAACATTATGAATGGAAGAGTATCTTCTCCCTGAAGAGCCGCCTCACAGGGGAAGAATCAAGCATGGCTCTTTTGGAAGACTGGGTTGAACTTCTGTTTTCTTTGAACTTGTATATCTGTATCCAGTCCACTCCTTCTCAAATTGCAATAAAAAGAACCTGTAGCCAAAGCCTGTCTCTCTGTTTTCCTTTCCAAAGTTCTCTGGCACCATTACCATGTTCCCGAATTACACAAGTCGTATGAGGCCATTTGGAGATCCTCACCTACCTGAGGTGACAGTGCTTGAACAGGGAATGTGCTTGAGCAGGGAGGCAGGGAGAAAGGTTCCCCCACGGCCGCTTGCAACCTCCACTCTTCAGGAATTCTGCATGTCCAGCCCAATAAAACACAAATGCCTCCTGGGGACCCTTTCACATGCTATACATATGAGTAGTTGCACAACATGAGCTGACTCTGCTCGAGCAAGAATGGTCAAGAAGAGCATCTCCAAATGGCCTTTCCAATCTCAACCCTTTAGAGATCCTACAAACACCGCTCACGGGAAGACCCATAGTGCAGGAGGTCCTCCTAATTGCTCTCTGGACGCATATGGTTTCTATTGAGGGAGGGTGGAGTAAAGGATCTCCAAATGTCTCCTGCAATCTCAACCATTCAAGGTTTCTGCAAACATTGCCCATGGGAACACCATCAACTGCCAGAGGCTCTTGTACCTGCTCTGCACAAAAGTACACAATCTCTCAGAGCCTTCTAGATTAGCCTGCACTACAGTGCTGGGGTGGACGACCTGTAGTTGTACCACCCTATCCAAGCCTTGAGATGCTCCTGTGCAGTGTTCTCCAACATTGGTGGTCAGATGGGGAAGCATCATCTTGTCTTGGTGTGGCAGGCCAGAGAGCAGAGCAGCTGAGACAGAAAGGTGGGTTCACAGCCCCAGGCATCACTCTGCCTCCGTCCATGCTGAGTGGGCAGCAGAGTTTGTGCTCTGGAAGGTTCCAGGTGTGCAGAGGTCGAGATGGTCAATGTTGTTGCGGGCAGAAGCCCCCTGTGTAGAGGAAGGAGGCTGTGAGCTGAGGAACAGCAAATCCAGCTGTGCAAGAGGAGAGCCCAAAGGAGACCTCCCCTCACTCACATCTCATAAGCCATGTGTTGTGAGTAGAACTGGATCACCAGACAACATTGGAGGGGAAACAAGAGAGACACAGGCTTTGGCTGCAGGTTCATTTTATTGCCATTTGAGAAGGAGTGATTGGAGAGGACATACAAGCACAAAGCAAGTAGTAGTTCTACGCAGTCTTCCACCAAGGCCAAGCTTCAAGCTTCTCCAACAAGGTGTCTCTTCAGGGAGAAGATCTTCTTGCTTTCATGGTCCCGCTGCAGAAGTGGCCGCTGCTTGGAGCATGGAGGAGGAGGCACATGGGAAACAGGCGGAAGGATCTGAGTCAGGAGAGGAGATGGGAGGCAAGGCCGAGGTGATGCCATCCAGGAGTGGATTTAGAAAGGGCCACAGGGTCCCCACAGCTTCTTGTTGTAGCGTGGCACAGGGTAGGGGCCGCAGGCAGGTGCAGCGTAGGGTCGGCCAAAGCTGCAGAGGCCCCCCGAGCCCAGGGTGGCCCCGGCGCCGTACAGGCCCCCCAGCCCCAGGGAGCCACCAAAGGCAGGAGCTCCAGAGGAGCCCACCACGGCCTGCTGTGGGAAGGAGCTGAGGATGGGGCCGGGGAAGGTGACCACCACGGGGGGCGGCTGGATGAGGGCCGTGGAGTCGGGGCACTGGCGGGCACACAGCTCGTTGCAGCTGTCAGCGATGGGCTGCGGGACGGCGATGCCGGTGGCCGCAGGGTACAGGTCGGAGCAGGACCTCTTGCTGTAGTGGGTGGAAA